AATTTGTGTTAACAAGTGATATAACAATATAGCAAGTATTTCACCTTGAAATTTGTTTCTGTCATTGGAATTTTAGTTTATATTCAAAGATAATTATACATAGCAACATATCCTAGGATTTCATGATTCATTCATGTGCACTCTTCTATTTTCACATGAAGATAATATCTCATTTTCCGTTATACGGCATATAAGGCATACTTGAAGTATCAGAGAACTGGGAGTTCATCTCGCTGTCTCAAAACTTCAAATAAAAATAAACGTATGTAATATATTCGACTGCTTTATTAACATATTTTCAAATATACCAATACTCAAAAAAAAAATCTGCATTTACGATCTTGTCGAAAAATGAAAGAACCACAAAAAGAAAAATAAATAACAGAACAATTGGTTTGAAAAGATTCTATCTGCACATAGAACCTTGTCTCACGAAGGAAACGAATTTCGAAACGACAAAATTCGAATTTCAGTATTCAAAAGTATATTGATAAATGGTAAATTATATTAGTAAGTCACTAACATAATTTAATGATTCAGGATATTACACAAATAAAATTGTTTGTCTAACTAACAAAATATTCATACTACAGTAAATTATAACTTTGAAGCTCTGTTTCTCAAAATTATAGTAAATGCAGTTAGAAACTTTTCATATAGAACCAAGGCCAAATATGTTAAGTATCAAAAATATGAAGCCTCTTTGTTCCTCACGCTGGTTATTAAGGAAAGAAATTCACCACTGGTCGATGCTATATCAGATTATCTCCAAACTCATCGATGGAAACCACCGATAAAAATCAGCCTGTTGATTCTATTGAACCACCGATGTAAGGTTAGATATATAACCTCATTATGATTTCAGTATTATTTATTTATATTACTTTTCTACCTATACTAGGTAAGGAAAGTATTGCGATCAGGTCAAATTTTTGATATAAGGTTTTCGACGGATCTATACATTTCAGAGCTCCCTGAGTCCGAAAAACACATTTTTAGCTATTGGTTTGTCTGTCTGTATGTTTATGTAGCCTTTAAAACACATTTTAGCCTGTTTTTTTTTGAAAGGTAGTAAAATTCCTACAAAACTACATAAAAATCGTTCATTTCGGACAACTATTAACGAAGTTACAGCTTTTCAATTTCCAATGTGAGATTACAGGTACATAACGGTAACAGAAAGGGATGAATGAGAGAAAAAAAGATAACTTAGTGAAAGTCAGAAAATTTGTTTCCCGCATCACACAAGCTTCACTATTACCTCTACTTTTAACAGAAGTTATTGTTTGACAAAATTAGGCTATGGCAAAAAGTTTTTGATCAGAAATATTTGAAGGTATTGAATTTTTTACACTGATCTACCTTAAGCCGGTTTACATTGCTTCATTTTATCAAATCAATCATACTCAAATCTTTTTTTTGATCAATTTTCAGGAAAATTTTTTTTTCTTTTTTTTTTTTGGTGGCTTATTTTATTTTAAGAATGCCAATTTTCCGCATGAGTCCATTAGATCGCCTCTAAACTCAGTCTAAATCTTTGTCCATAGTTGCTGGATTCAATCGATTGATGGATCAGCGCAGAGTTTGGAAACTTTGTCTAATAATTATTAACATTAAGCAAGTTTGGTTTTATATATACTTAATGGAAAGCGCAACTCCTGTATACCTCACCTATATCTATCCACGGCAGGATGCACGTGTTCATCCTCAACATGACTAAGAGCTTCTTTGCATAACTCCCTGACGTAACTTGGTTTTCATTGATACCTCGGAACGTTATGCGGTGATCACGGATTCATATATACAGGACCATGGAGAAAACCGACGGCAAGTAGCACAGAAGGGGCCTATTTAATGGGGCCTCTGTTAGAAATGAAAATGATCTTTGGGAGCTAGTTGAATATTGCATTTATTGCCTCAAACTGTGGACATTGACCGCAAGGCACCCATCTCCATCTTCCCGGTTCGTCCGACTCAGAAAATCTAAAGATATTCCGTGTGTACCATTCCTTATTCCTTATTTACATATCTTATATCTAAAGATGTTTAATGTTCTCCTTTTTACTTCAAAAGTTATTTAATTATTTAAATGGAACTGAATCAAACCTGGGGATAGGTACTGCTGACCTTCACCCACCACATACGATTACACGATCTTAGGTGCTACGTTTTGGAGTCTTGAAATTTATTCGGTATGCCACTGGATAATCATAAATGATAATTGTCCCAGGATTATTTAATAATAGAAGATTAGTTAAACAAATTTGGATCTATAATAAATTTGGTCCATGATTAATTAAGTGGATTTCTTTTCTCAAAGACTAATTTGTGTTTATCATGCTTTCTAATTACCAACATTACCTGTGATCATCATGATATAAATAGGTAGCAGAATTAAAATAACATTTACTAAAAAAAACGGAATTTATTTCTATGTTTAATAAAGAATAATATACAAATAACATAAAAATCTTAATGTGCAAATGCTATATAGTTTATGGTATAAACTAAATATAGTTTATAGTATATAAACTCGAATCAAATAAATATATATTTATTTGATTCGAGAAATTTATTAATTAACTGTGATTTCAGATGGACTGTTTTGAGAGTTGCATTGCCATGAAATATTTTAACATTAGGATGGCTTTAGCACCAGTGACGCGGTTGAGAGAGTAGCGCTGAGATCTCTAAGAGTCCTGCTTTTCCTTTTATAGTTGGAGGGAGAAGCCTGGCTTTGGGTTTCCTGCCTGATTGTATATATTCTATATAGGTATGACTGTGTTTTTATGTTTTTAATTTACTTATCTTTAGTTTAGTTTATTTTTTTATTGTACATGGTTCTTTTTTATTATTATTTAGTTATTATTTTACTTTTGTTAATTCTGTATTTTCTGTATTTATGATGTGAATGTGTTCATTTATCACTATAATTATTGTCCACAAGACAGAATATTATATACCTAAATAAATAAATTACAAAAAAAAAAGTATTGGGAATTACAACTTAGCTATTATGGTATGTGAAGGGAAGTAGTTATGGCATGTTTCATCGCTGCATCTGCTGATCCGAGGTCATCTCGTCTAGCCTGGATTAAAAATCTGACAGGGGGCTTATCTTCATGGTCTATGTAGGGCCAAGGCTTCAGTTCCCAAACCGGAAGAAAACATAAGCTCCCATCCTCAAGGACGAAAATCAACATAAGATCTATTCTCCAGGCCAGATATCAACATAAGACCTCTTTTCTTACTTTTTGGGAGATTTTATACAAAAATTCAGGGTGGGGCAAGGATGGTTTTCACAGGTCCTTAACTTCACCCTATTACTTCACAATAACTGGTAACACCCTAAAAGGAACCAGTTACTTAGCCCGTTACTAGTTATTACTCTGAGCCTTCCGCAGGGTCCAGGTATAGGTCGGTCCTTGCAGGTTCCAGGCAGGTGTGAGGGGAGGGGGGGGCACAACACAAAATTGGTCTTAACTCCTTTTTCGTTTGGCCCATGCATCAAATGAACTTTTTCTTCCAGAGCCTTTGGATTAATTTTTTTTTTAGGGTGATACTACATAAGTTTAGGCACATTTCATCAAAATATATCGGCGTTTTATTTTGTTTAACAGTAAAAAAATAAAAACAATATACATTTCTTCTCGGTTCTAATACGGATATAAAATGTTTTCCCACCCACAACCGAAGACTTTGAATTCAGAGCAATAATCCAATATTTAGAAAAATATGACTAAAACCAATAAAAACAAGATATGACGTTCTATATTTAACTAAACAAGCATGATTATAAAAAAAAATATATATACTAATTAAGAAAATTTATTTTAAAAAACCAACGCTAATTATTACTACGATGATTTTAATTGATATTTTTTATATAATTAATATAAGCATTAAACAAGCATGTAGAAGTAAACAAGGATGACATGCTTATTACAATACTCGTTAGTGACGTAAATGGAATTCATATACGAGAAACATAAATAGAATGAATATTGAGGAATATACAAACAACATAATGAAATTATTTCTTACATGTTGTTTATGTTGGATAAATCTTCCTGTGTTTAGATTACCATTAGAAAACATTGGATGTCGAACCGCTCAGCAGGACTCATACCGGCGCCGCTTTACTCCAGAATGCTATAGCAGGCAAAACTCCAGACCATAAAAAAACGGATCTTTACATTTACTATTTCTTTTTTTAAATATTGCTAAGGAGGGATTTCAACTTTTTAAAAACTGAGTTAAATCAGTGTCTGATAGCACCAGGTGTCATTTCCTAAAGATTGCACGAATGAGATCGATTTTCAAAGGAAGGAGATGGTCCGGGATGGCGGTCATCAATAGGCTAAATAGTGGCAAAACTATTTTATTAAAAGCCTGGTCTATTTTTATTTTTTAGGGTTTTTTTCTGGTCTATTTTTACTTTCACATACGTATATATGTAATATATTGTAAGGGTAAGTATTGCGATCGAGAAAATTTTTGAATCTGAGTTTTCAACGGAAATACACGTTTTGAGGTACCCTGAGTCGAAATAACCAAGTCCCGAAAAATGGATTCCTTTTGGAAGGTTATCTACCTATGATAAAGTATTATTGTGCTTCTCAGTGTTTTGTATTTTTCAAGTTTGTTCTGTTAGTTTTGTTGTATCGTTTCCTACTGTTTGTGTTATTTTAGAGTTTTTTGAGCATGATTTAGTTTTAGTTTATGTTTATTTAGTTAATTTTATAAACTTTTTGAGTGAACAGTGGAGGTTAAGGTTAACTTTGTGGTTTTCACGAAGGTTTAATCTAACCAAAAGGACATTTAGAGACTATTACGTTGGTGAAGCACTAAGGTAAGTTCATATTTAAGTCTTACTTTTGAAGATAGGAAATTTATACGTTTCCCGAAAGTAGGTTAGATTTTGAGTGTTGAATATTTCCTTCTACTGTTGTTCACCCATTATTTCAACGTATAAAGTTGTTAATTTTGGATTGCGTAAGATGGCTGATGAAATTGCATCAGCAATGGAGCAGGAAATGGTGGAAGAACAGGCTATAAAGAGCCCAAGGCCTTCAGCAAAGAGACAAAGGAAAGGATCTCCTGACGCCCGAGAAGAAACAGATAAAGAACGTGTAGACGATAGTCTTCTGCAAGATGCACGTAGAATCAAAGAAAAAATCAGGGTCTACATGAACGCAACAGACAGGAACGTGAGTGCGAAGGTACAAAAGCACGTTAATGGAAAAATTCAGCAGTTAATAGATATAATGGAGACAATATATGATAAGAACTATGAAAAAATGTTTTTAGTAAAACGTGTGGTAAAGGACACATTAGCTTCCTCTGAAATGTATGATATCATAGTAAATGCATTAGTGGAAAAAGCAGTACCTATGGTTATCGAGGGAATCAAGACGGAAAGTAAAACCATACAAAGACCACTGTCAGAACCTCAGACATCTCGGGAGTTTCCATGTGTTAAAGAACAACCGCTATTAGCCGATGCCCTTATTGAGACCACGGAGAATGAATGTTTCCAGGAAGTAAAGAAAAAGCAAAGAAGGAAAAAGGCTCTTCCACAAGTGGCCAAAGAGATCGAGGCCTCTAAACCTATAGCAGAGGAAAGTTTGACCAAGAAAAGGTCTACACATCAGACTACGATGGCCGATATTGTTAAAGGGCTTCCATTAAAACCGATGGATACTACAAGACCAACTTATGTTACCATCGCTTCTCAAGGTAAAAGTGCAGCTGACATCATCAACAATCTGCCTTCTCCAACTGAACTAGGAGTCAAGGCGAGAGTTGTACGGGCGACCAAAGCTGGCTCAGTTTTAGTTTGTGTAGATGAGGGTGCCCATGCGAAAAAAGTAATTGAATGGCAAAAATTAAAAGAAGTTGGGATGGAGGCAAAACTAGCCTTAAAAAGAAAACCGAAAGTGGAGGTAAAAGGAGTTCCCCTTTCATGGACTGCGGAAAATCTAGAAAGGGTGCTATGGGAAAGGTTGGCTGCAAAATCGGCCGCTATTTCTGAGAACCAATTAGGTAATATAAAGCCATTGTTCTCATCAATGGCTAGAAATAAAATTACCAATAATTGGGTGTTAGAAATACATCCAATGGTAAGATATAATCTACTCAAGGAGGAAATAATTACAGGAGGTTGGTGGTCACTGACAATCTTAGATTACCCCGATGCTCCTCCCTGTCTAAGGTGTCAGGGATATGGACATACAAAAGCTACTTGTGAGGCAAATGGCATAGTGTGCAAGTGGTGTGCGGCAAGTGGGCATATTGCTAAAAACTGTCCCGCAAAAGGAATTAAGACCGCACCTACATGCGTTAACTGCGTGAGGGAAGGTGTTCAAAAAAGTAAGGCTAAACACCAGGCAGGAAGTAGAGAATGCCCAGTGCACATCAAGAGATCTCAAGAATTAGTGAGGAGAACTCACTATGATTAGACTCAACATCCTGCAGTAGAATATGGGCCGCCGGCATATTGTGGCTGACGAGCTTCGCGCCATGGCACAACGCTACGATATCATGTCGGTACAGGAACCTAGCTGCCGTGGGAACAGGGTTACGGGGTTTGGCCTCACGTCAAGAGTTATAGCCCTGAGCAGTGGAGAGAGGAGGCCCAGGGCTGCAATAGTGATTAATAATCCTAACCTTGACGTGATGGATCTGAGGCAACACACCATGGCGGATTATGCATCTTGCTATGTTAAGTGGGGCAAGATTTCTTTCACATTGGTATCGGCATACCTACCTGTGAATAGTGATGTAGAAGAAAGCATATCCGCTATGGAGGCGATCATTAGAGAGATGAGGAATGTGATCGTGTGCTCAGATACCAACTCCTGGAACACGGTCTGGGGGTCCAATATTACTGACAGGCGAGGCGCTAAAATGGGAAATTTCATAGGCAGAAATCACCTTGTCGTGATAAACGAACCCTCTGCCACCCCTACCTTCTCTGGAGGCATGGGGCAGAGTTGGATTGACGTCACGATCGCCACGCCTGCGCTTACGAGGTATATTGCTGATTGGGCTCTCAGATCTGATACGAGTTCCGATCACGTTGCGATAGCAATTGGCCTGGTAAATGAGCCAGGATGTTCCCACGGTACTGATAAGGGTTTCGTCACTAAAATAAATGACTGGAGTGTCTTCAGGTCCTACCTGGAAGGAGTGATTGCAGACGAGGAGTGGGAAGCGGCAGAGATGGATGTAGTCGACAATCTGGACTACAAGGTGTCCAGGATTACCAACAACATTCGTGATGCTGCCGAACACTCCCTCAAGCACCGGAAGGCGAGGGTTCGACCTGTCCCATGGTGGACGCCAGCCTTAACTGTTCTAAAACGAGACCTCTACAAGGCCCGGCGGTCATATCAGAGGTGCAGATGCGAAGAGAGGCGCACTGTACTTCGCAATGAGTACAAGTCAAAAGCCAGGATATACCGAAACGAGGTTCGCTCACAAAAGCGGAAGTCTTGGGACGATTTCATCATTGAAGAGTCTTTGAAGAATCCCTGGGGTATTCCGTATAGGGTAGCATTGGGTAAGTTGTCCCCGATGCAGACTATTGCAGCCTTGCGGTATCATAATACTGAGGCAACCACTCTTGAAGAAACTGCCAATGTTTTCATTGAAGCAATATATCCCAGAGATGACCCAACCCAGGACAGCGAAAATGATGATTTTGTGAGACGCACCACGGTATATCCACCTGGTTCAGATTTGTGCCCACCATGGGACATTCACGATCTTCATATTGCCGTGGATAAGCAGAAGACTAATCGTGCTCCAGGACTTGATGTAATAGATGCAGCGATCTTGAGGAACAGTATCACGTATATTGAAGACCGGCTGTTGAGTATTTTCAATGAATGTCTGGATATGGGATACTTTCCAAGAAGATGGAAGATCGCTGATTTGAGACTACTCTACAAGGGAGGAGATAGGGACAAACAACTCCCTAATTCATATAGACCTATATGTCTCCTCCCTGTGATTAGCAAGGTCCTGGAGAACCTCATGATGACTAGTTTACGACCTGTTTTCGATAGAGCAAGTCATCCACGACAATATGGATCAACCAGAGGCAGAGGAACCGCAGATGCCCTGCTGAGAGTGCGCAGAGATGTTGAGGAGAGGGCGGAGCGGTATGTCATGTTGCTTCTTTTCGACATATCCTCCGCCTTCGACAGCGTATGGTGGCCTAGCGTGCTCCAGCAGCTGCAGAGGTATGATGCTCCTAGTAACGTATACACACTAGTAAGAAGCTATCTCCAAGATAGAAGTGTCAAGATTAGAGGCAATTACTACGAGGTAGAAGCTTCCATAGAGAGAGGTTGCCCTCAAGGATCGGTGCTTGGTCCTGCTCTATGGAAGCTCGTCTTTGATGAGTTACTGGGAGTGTTAGAAGAGGAGCGGTTTCCTGCCACTGCTTACGTTGACGACCTAGCTGCTGTGGTGGCCTCCAACAGCAGAGCTGGAGTCAAGAGAGAAGCAGAGCGATGCGCCAGCCTAGTCGCTAGATGGTGTGAGGGGAAGAAGATGAGGATGGCTGCTGCTAAGACTCAAGCCATCCTCCTTAAGGGAAAGACTGATAGGGCACACCCTATAACGATGTACATAGAAGGTCAGAGGATACGTCCAAGTGAGGTGGTAACCTACCTAGGGGTTAGGTTAGGTGTAGGCCTCAATATGACGCCTCATTTGGAATATCTGGCAGGTAGGGTGGCCCTAGCAATGAACGGTCTAAGTCGTGTGGGGGGCGCATTTTGGGGCCGTAGGTATCCAGCCACTATCACTATTTATAAGGGTGTTGTGGAGGGTATCCTTAGGTATGCGTCTCCCTTCTGGTTCCGAAACCTCACACTCAGACAAAGAAATAGGCTAGCATCGACTCAGAGAACTGCTCTGCTTCGGGTCACCAGAGCATATAGGTCTACGTCGCATGAAGCAGTGCAGGTCTTAGCGGGGGTGGTGCCTCTCGACCTCCTCCTGCGAGAAGAAGTGACCAGGTACGGCTACAAGAAGGAGGGCTCAACTAGTCTGTCGGAGAACCTACGGATGAGGATTATTGAAAACCCAAATAAATGGAAAAAGATTATCCGGGAGGAAACAATTGAAGATTGGAGCAGACGGTGGGTGGCGACTCCGAAAGGCAGTACCTTAAGAAAATACTATCCCACCGTTGAATCTCGGTTACAGGCGACATGGGTCCTCTCGGACTATTGGGTTTCACAATTTCTCACGGGGCATGGGGGTTTCAGAGCTAAACTCCATGGCTTCGGACAGGATATAGATCCCCACTGCTCTGCTGGCGGTGTTCCGGAGACTGTTGAGCATGTGGTCACGGCCTGCACTGCTTTCGACGAATTAAGAGCGAGGTTAATGAGAACGACGGGAATTTACGTCCTCACTGAGGAGGAGTTTCCTCAGTTGGTGAGTGAAGAAAACTTTCCGCGGTTCAAAGACTTTATAAATGGCTGGAAGACGGCGGTGGGCCCAGCTCACTTCAACCTAGGTGCAAACAGAAGGAGAAGAGGACCAGTCCCAGGAAGACCTCCGCATTCGGGAAGCCAGGCCTAAAGGAGCCAGGAAAAAGTAGAAGAGCTAGCTGTGTGCACAGCTTAGAATTTTGTAAACTGATATTATGGCAGTAGTGTGTTATTATGCATTAGTGCTTAACATCACACTACTGCATACACCCGTGTTGCCCTGGTGGCATGGGAGGGTGGAATACAAATAAATAAAAGTCCCGAAAAATGGTCTGTGTGTCTGTGTGTTTGTATTTTAGCAGTCAAGCTCAAAAACGAAAAATCGTACAAAACTGATATTACGTATTTAAGATAGGTATGTGCCTTAGATGTGAAAGCAACTTTTTCCCCAAAATCGGCTAACCGGAAGTGCCACTTTATATCAACGCTGAAACACATTTTTATAATTTTCTCAAAAACGGCTCTAACGATTTTGATTAAACTCGGTGTATCAATGTATAATGAAGTAATCTTTAATACCAATTAGGTCGTATCCTCATTGATGTCACTTTACAGGGCTTAAATGCCCAATGTTCATATACGTCTTCCTCTAAAGTACCTTTAATATGGTTTATATTAAAAAGTTAATAATTTCAAATTATTCAGAGTTACGAAAAAATGCTAAATATAACTTTTGAAAGAATTTGATAAGTTAATAATGGAGAAAATAAATAAAAATGCAGAAAAACCTGCGTTGCTATAGACTGCAACGCCTAAACGAATGTACCGAGTTCAATAAAACTTTACTAAAGTCATTTTCTCGACACCCTTTAAATTTATCTATATAACACACTTCAACGAAAAGAAGCTGGAAAAAAAGTTACGAGGGATGGTAAAATTAAATTCTGAATAACCCAAAAAGTATATACTTTTTTTGTCGATATTGTATATGGTTTTTTGAAAGTTTACGGAATTTCCTAAAAAAACAAAAAAAAATTCGTTAAAATCGGACAATTAGGAGGAAAGATATTGTCTCTAGCTTTTTTTTTTAAATATGTTCTGTTTCAAAGCTTATATCTTTTGTTTTATCAACTTACTCACTGTCTGCATAGATAACTTTTTAAACTAAAAATATCACTAAAATGACATTATTAAAAAATGTTGAAATTGGAGTTAGTCATTCTGTGTTTTATAAAAGCAAAGAAAGTTGTGTGCTTTATAAAATCAGATGGAGTGACTAAATTTTTATTGCCTACCGTCGATATATTAAATAGACGATAATGATCGTAATGACTTGTTATCTGTAAGCTTTAAAGTTTATCTCTGTTTAAAATGCACTTCGAAAAATTTTATAATAGCCCAGCATTGCCAGAAAGTAATTGCTATTCAAAGTAGAGCGGTAAGTGAAAGTTGTGTGTTGCGCCCACCAGATTTTTATTTTTATATTTATTTTAATTAAATGAAAACTTTATTCCAAAGACATTACTTTTTTTTTCAGTCTGACGAGGATTTTTGTTAAGTTCCTTTTTTTTTATATAGCTCATTCATTAACTCATCCATCGCTCCGTTGGCTGAAAAGCCGATAGAAGCTCATTACAACTACATCCTTCCGAAAAACTTACATCATACAGCCCTGTTATCAATTAGGACAGCGGATGACAAACTATATCGCACATAGAATACGTCACACAGTCGACGCAACTAAATGCTAGCGAGATCCCTCATCTACAGCCTGATTTCGTGTAATCATATCCCAGGAATCGTTAATCTGCAATCGTAATAATTATTATTTTATTTTTTTTGTTAAAGGGTATTTTATTCCTTGATGCAACTAAAGTCTCTTTCGACAATATACATCTATGTCTTGTGTTATGTTATTTTATTTTTATTATGTTTTTTTATTTGTTGGTTTAATTATTTATTTTTTGTATGTATATATGAATCCTAATAGCTCAAATATTTGTTTCCCTTCAATGTGGCAGATTGTTCTTTTAATCATCTTTTAAAGGTACTTTTGTTACTAAAATATATATATATATATATATATATATATATATATATATATATATATATATATATATATATACTTCTGATATATTTTTCTGAATAAAGGAAAAATAACAAAAAACATAGTTAGTAACGACAGGTAAATTTACGATAGGGGACCAAGACCTAGAATTCGGATAATTTAGTGAGATATCATGCAGGTAATAGTAATGTAATTACACTCAATGCACTAATGTGTGGATTAGTTTTGATAGAGTTATGTACTGTTAAAAGGTTAAAACAGTACGTAAAAGTGTGAAAAATTTCATCACTTTTTGTCATCCCAAAGAAAAAACGCTGAAGCACATTTTTACAATTTTCTCGAAAACGGCTCCAACGAATTTTGATTAAACTCGGTGTATCAGTGTATAATTAAGTGGTCTTTAATATCATTTCGGTCTTATCCCCGTTGAAGTCACTTTACAGGGCTTAAATGCCCAATGTTCATTTGTGTCTTCCTTTCCTAATTGCCCTCGGGCAGTGGAAGGAATTTGTTACATGTATATATTGTATTATTGTATACTATATATGTAAATTGTTTCAATAAACATTTTGGAGGATAAGAAAAAAATAAAATAAATACTTCCTCTAAAGCACCTTTAATATGAAGAGAAGAATAGTTGGGGTGGTCAGTCAAAAAGGAAGGCAAAAATAAATGATAACATTTATTTTTTTACATATGCCGACGTTTCGACCTGAAGTTCAGGCCTTCATCAGGGCTAAGAATATGGTTCATAATATGGTTCATTTCAAATAATTAACTCTCTCTCACTATTAAAAGTTACGAAAAAATGCTAAATATGACTTTTGAAAGAATTTGATAATTGAAAAAGGAGAAAAAAATAAAAATACTTATACAGGTCGAAAATGAATCTCCGAAAATACAAGTCAGAAGGTATACTTATAATATATCGTTGGAAAGCGGAGAATTTTAGAAAAAACAATATATAATATAGAAAGTTATTTAAGATAAAGGAGAGCGGCAAAAAAAAATATAAATAATGATTTTTGAAAACTGATTATATTTAACGTAAATCACCTGTTTTCAAGGAAATTAAATGAAATTTACTAAAATATTTTTACGTGTGTAGAAAGTATTTAAAATTCACCTAATCAAGGCAATGGTATTGTTAAGAAAACTATTTCATTGTACTTGTGTGAAAGAAAAAGTAAAGTATGAAATAATTTCATGGATGTATAAGGCATATGTTCCTAACCTTAAATACATTTACTGTAGTTTAGTGATTATACATCTGATATTTTATATTTATATTTAAATAATTAGGTATCAACGATTATTCTGTAAAATTGTCATGTAACTTTTTAGGAAATTAAATTAGTAAATAATTTGATGAATTTTGAAACTCAACATTATCATATCTTCCTCTAAAGTACCTTTAATTTGTTTTATTATAAATAATAACTATTTGTTATTGTTAGGAGTTATGGAAAAATGCTAAATATAACTTTTGGAAGAATTTGATAATTAAATAAAGGAGAAAAAAATAAAAATACTTATTCAGGTCGAAAATGAATCTCCGAAAATACAAGTAAGAAGGTATACGTTTTATATATCGTTGGAAAGCGGGGAATTTTAGAAAAAAAACAATATCTAACATAGAAACTTGTAGAACGTAACGAAGAGTGAATTAAATGCAATTTTATTTCTAAATGTAAACTTTTAAATTTTTACTAAAGTTTGAAAAAGTATATAAAACCCACAGATTCAAGGCAATGCCATTGTTTAAGATACTATTTCATTGTACTTGTGTGAAGGAAGAAGTGAAATATAAAAATACTTCATGGATACTTTTATAACCTTAAATATATTTACTGTAGTTTAATAACTCTAGATCTGACATTATATTTAGATAATCATCATGTAATTGTCAGAAAATAATTTCTATTCAAAGTTGAGCAAAGTGCATAGAGTAAGTGAAAGTTGTGTGTTGTGCGCACCAGATTTTTTATTGTAGTTCAAAAACGGTTCTGAAAACGGAATAAATAGATGATATCTATCGTCCGTTTATTCCCAAAAATCATCATGTAAACTTTTAGAAAATTAAATGAGTGAATAATTTGATAAATTTTCCCTTATCAACAAAATCCACTTACAATTAGTGTGACAACTTTTGACCTGCCTATGACAGATAATGTAAATAATTAATTCCATTTTAATAAACTTTGCAATGGAAAATAACAGTTTAATAACTAATAGTCGTACAATCCATAATCAACGGATCGAACAATCCACAATCAACGAATCGTACAATCCATAATCGTGCAATCTTTTAGCTTTAGCTCAGTTAAAATGCAATACAAAAATTTTATAATAGTCCAACATGGCCAGAAAATAATTTCTATTCAAAGTTGAGCGCAAAGTTCAAAGAGTAAGTGAAAGTTGTGTGTGGCGCGCACCAGAATTTTTATTGTAGTTCTAGTAAAGTTTTAATTTTTAAAATCGATATTCGACATTTCCTCATGAGATGTCCTTTCATTTGATACCTGATTCATCCAAATCCATCGCTCCTCAGAGCCGTGAAAAGGGTTCATACTACCGTATTTAGTATTATAGTGTTGATAATTCATCGTTTTCAGGCATTAAATATATTGAGGTATGCTTGTTCGCGAAAATATGAAGCTATACGCCGAATTATCATTTCCTTAGATCGGGGAACTCCCCTACTTATTATGACGGGCCGAGTGTAATGAACCAGAAATTCCAGCAATGACTCTAAACCCCGCCATCATTGCGTAAGCTCTGTCTGCCACCATAATTAGTTCATGGCCTCTCCATCAGGGGATAGACAGATAGATATCTAGGCATCAAGTCAGCTGATTCAAATAATCCAATATTCAAATAAGGATAAAATTATACATAATTATGTTATTCGGCAAGTGGTATTTAAAATTTGCAAACAACTTTCATTTGATTTGATTTTTCAGGTATGTAGTCTTGCATTGAAATATTCGTATCGGAGAAAGATCTTTTTAACAAGAATTTATAGGATAGACGCTGGTAAAAATAGTAGTTTCTCTATAAAACACTCAATTTAAAATGCATTCTTTATATTTTAGTATCTTGAAAACAAAATACAAATATCTTTTTCTATTTTAAAAATAAAACAGTATCGAACATTCTATTTATATTTTACTTCCTAAAATGAAAAATGAAAAAACATATGTTATTTTGTATTTTAAAGTATTTAACTTGAAATACTACACAGGTAATAATAATAATGAAATTAACTTTACAACAAAAAAATTATTATTTTCTTAAAGAATTCAACACACGTCTGCATAGAATCCACATAAGTTTTTTTCATAACTCGATAACTAAACATCTTCCGAAAAATATCAAATGGCCATTTGACAGATATTGTTCAATACTGAGAAAAAAAAAAAAAAATCTCAATCAGACCAGTACTAGCGAACGTACAATTGTGAATTTTTGTTATAGATATTCACATTAAGGTGTGTTCACCCCAAGCATTAAGGTGTGTAAGTGAGTGGACACACCAGATATTTCGAAATGTTTTATTTTTTTATTCTGGGACTGTGGTCCCTTTAGAACAAATTATAAGTACAGAATGCATGTCTCTGCGGTCATAAATAAATTTAATATTTACAATAACAGTTAATTAAAAGTAAAAATACACAAGAAAGGGGGAAAAAAAGAAAAGAAAAGCGTTCATTTATATAAAACAAACAAAGAAAAATAATATAAATAAAGAGGAATAGTCTCTGGGGGTACTTAAATAGTTCTCTTAGGTATATTTCGTAATTAGTCAGAATGAGAAAGGAGTAGATATTTAAAGATGAGAGGTTTTAAAGAGGAAACTGTTCAAAACTGTCCTTCAAAGAAAATATCCTCAAGTAGAATTTCATCTTTTATTATTGTGGTATTTTATATTTATTTATTTGTGGTAGTTATTCGTCCTTCGAGTTATTCGAGTATCCAGTAGTTATATTTTTATTCGTCTATATTTGTTTCTGTGGATGATTTTAGCTAAATATTCGATCACAATATGTACTCTTTAAATTATAACACATTTAAGGTAAAACTGCTATTTTTCGGCACTCCCAAAGAAACTTTAAAATGGGTTTGTCCCGTTTTAAATCATATGGGTACTTGGTTCAACAATTTCAGTTGTGTTAAATCAGTAAAGATTTTTAATTTAAAAATATATATGTGAAACAGTATTTTTCATTTATTTTTTATACTAAAGCGGAAAATATAAAAATATCTTTCGGCGCCATTTTTCCAGTTTTCGGCATATTGAAGTACCATTTTTAGGCGCTCCTTACTCAATTTTCAAAAACCTAAATAATTAAATCTACCAGCCTTCAGAATGAAAGAACTGCAATGAAGCGGGAATGTATGTTTCTTGCCAAAAAACTTAAGTCACGTCCTTGGGGGACACCTGTTTGGTTCTAATCTTAATCTTCAGCGATTATTTCGAACTAGAAATTTTTCTTTATTTTTTTTCATTGGTCCGTTTCCGAATGAGCAAACCTCAACAAGCTCACTCAGAACGCCTAGAAGACGAAAGCCACCTTGATCGGAACTCCCTCACTCCTCAAATCCTTCCACGTACCCCCAATCTTCTCCTGAACAACTCACCTATCTTA